TTTGAAAAAATTGGTGGAATGTTCCTTTAACTTACCCACACATGGTGGAGGGAAATGGTTTGTCGTATTCGTTTGAGGTAAATATGCTGATATGTGATGGGTTGCCTCTCAGCTTCGTGAAAAGGTCCGCCTCCCTGTGAAGAATGGGAGTCCCAGATATACACCTTCGTCTCCATGGCAACGAGGCAGAAAGGTGCCTTTATTAATTATTCGTGATTAATCACTTGTTTTATGTTAATTTTACTCGCAATTAATTGTGTTAATTTGCTCAAATTTAAGCCCATATGAAAGTTTGTTTTTGTTGTGGCTGTATGAGTGGAGAAAATGAGCTTCAGAGCTGTTATTAATAGCTGTTTTGAGGGAAGTTGAAAGTTTCATTTTTGCTGTTGCTTTTTTTGTTTGTTTCTTTTCTTTTGTTTCTTGTTTTGTGTTAGTTTTACTTTTTTTCGATTGAAGTTAGTGGTCATTTGTATGGCCGCATTTTAGGGCCACTGTTAATAAAAGTAGTAGACTTTGACAAAAAGTCATAATATTCAGACGAAAAGAGTCGTAATATTTGGATGAAGTCGTACGGTACAGTATTTGGAGAAATTTGTAATATTTTGAGAAGAAAGTCATAATATTTCATGATGATATCGTAGAATTACAACATTAAAGTGGCATTAATGCCAGGAAAGGTCACAATATTGTGGCCAAAGGCTTTGCGAAGTGAAGGCAGCCCCTCCTGGTGTTAAATGAGGGGCGGTGAGTTGGTGGAGTTCTACTTCCATATTGATTCACCCATAAAGAAACACTCAGTCTCCCTGTCTCTCCTGCACAGCAGCACCAGCCTGTTATTAGGATAAGAACCGGCTGAAGCGGCTGAGCAGGAAACTGTGTTTATCTAGAATAAAGAGCCAGACGGACTCGGAGGAAACTGTCTGTCTGGGTTGTTGAAGGAGAATCTCAGGCAGGGTCGTCTACACGGCTATCAGGGGCTCCATCTCCCCCCATTCAAAGAGGGCATGAAGTTTCACAGACAGTGAGAATGATGATCAGAATGATCCACAGAGAGACAGGAGAGAGTGGAGCTCCGACGCCAGTACAGCAACCGAGACCCCAGTGCGTTATGGCAGCCCCCCTACAGTACAGCAGCCCACTTTATCCTCCAAATATTACAGCTTAATTCTCGAAATATATATTAGACTTTTTTTCTCGAAGTCTGCTATTTTTATTTTTATTAACAGTGGCCCTAAAACTCCTTGTCCTGTTTGTCCTGTGTCACAAAGCCTAACGAGGGCGGTGCTCCTTCCTCTGCTGCACCCAGTGAAGAGTCGCAGGTTTCCATCCTTGATACTGCTGTCCTTCAGGTGATGCCTGTGTGTTCATCCTCCCCTTTTTTGAGTCTAGTAGAGAATCACAGAAGCAGTCAGGTCACTTGCCGTGTGTCTGTGTATTGAGATTACTGGGTGTAAGTGAACAGTCATGTTTGAGTTGTAGTAATTATCATTTAATTGCCTTTCATAACATCACAGGTGGGTTCTTGTACACAGGAGGTTCTGAGCTCTAGACCTGTAACGACTGGTTTAGTGTTGGGTCCTCAGATTAATGGTTAAAGCATAGGAGTATAGAATTGATAGTTATTAAAATGACTGGAAACTGTTTTTGTTGCACTGTCCTGAATTGGGTGTTGCTCTCTGTACTGAAGGCTTCGTCTCAGGAGCCTAAATCTGTCTCGCTGGCCAAACACCTCAAACAGTCCATTCAGCCCCGTTCAGCTTCAGTTCAGCCGTCTGAAGATTTGATTCACATGATGTGCCGCCTCTCGCCTCCTCCGGCTCGTCAGAGTAATGCTTCCCCTCCTCCCCCCTCTGAGATGGATTCTCCCTGCCGTCCAGCTCAAGAAGATCCTCTGCCGGTCACAAAGAGCTCCTCTAAGGTTTGGCTTGGGGACAGGAGAGTGTTTTTCACTGTGCACGGTGGAGTTAATGCACTATAGTTAGTATTAAAGTGCCCATATCACTGCATTTCACACACTCATTTTTTTTAATAAAATGCTTGATGTGTTTTATAAATGTTTCTAAAACAATGCCTCGTATCTCGAATACCTCGGAAATGTTACCTACAGGAGAATTGAAGAAACTTTCTCAACTTTAAATGTAGCTTAATGGAACAACTTTTGACCAGGCACTTTTGGAGCATTTCTATTGGTCCGTTCATCATGAAGTTTTTGCATATTGTAAAGATTAGTTGGCATTTTAAAATTCTGTAACCAAAAAGAAATAATAATCCAAATTTCCAAAATTCTGGTTTTGTTCCAACAGCCTCTCTCTCTCTCTCTCTCTCTCTCTCTCTCTCTCTCTCTCTCTCTCACTCTCACTCACTCACTCTCTCTCTGTCTCTCTGTGTCGCGCGCTCTCTCTCTCTCTCTCTCTCTCTCTCTCTCTCTCTGTGTGTGTCTGTCTCTCTCTCTCTCTCTCTGTGTCTCTCGCTCTCTCTCTCTCTGTGTCTCTCGCTCTCTCTCGCTCTTTCTTTCTTTCTTTCATTCTCTCTCTCTCTCTTTCTTTCTGTCTCTCTCTCTTTCTTTCTCTCTTTCTTTCTCTTTCTTTCTCTCTCTCTCTCTCTTTCTATCTATCTATCTATCTATCTATCTATCTATCTTTCTTTCTTTCTTTCTTTCTTTCTTTCTCTCTCTCTCTCTCTCTCTCTCTCTCTCTCTCTCTCTCTCTCTCTCTCTCTCTCTCTCTCTCTATGGAGATACAAGGTTTTTTTCCGACAACATATATAGTGTGTGTGTGTATACATTCATACACACATACATACATATATATGTTACTGATAGTGTTGCACTGCTGGACTACTTTCTGATTGAGGAACAGTTCAGGCCAGACAGTCAGAACAGGGCTTATTTACATATATCATCTTTAAAAGTATAGCAACTAAAGAACCTGTTTAATTCTAAGGCCTGAAGAGGCATCATTAAAAAAAGAACTGTTCTTGGCACATAAGCCTACATAAACATCATAAGGAGGAAAACGATATAAATAACCTGATTGAAATGGACCCTTTAAGTTGTTCCTGTGGAGGACGTGTGAGAGGGTCTCTGACTGACTTTACTCCACCATATCAGGACCGCTCGGGGTCTTCCGCGACCCTGTTGAGGGGAAAGCAATCCAAAATCCGTCCGTTCCTCTCTCCAGTCACCCCTGTACGTGGGCGGGACAACAGCTTTGAAGATCAGGCACCGCTGTCGGTAATGCCGTGAGCACCAGGCGGTGCAGTGCCACATAAGGGTGAATGTTTATGGTGGATGTGGTTTCTGCACATGACAATAACAGGTGTCTGTATCCTAAACCACGGAAGTTGTTTCTATGTTGGTTTTTTTTTGTGGGTCACACGTGGTGGTTTGATGTGGTATAGCAGCTCCCACAGTTTTTGTCTCTGTAGATGCAGACGGCCGGGGGAAGTGGTGATGGGATGACTTGAAGCACTTGTTCAACCAGCAGAAAAGTGGCTAATGATGAATGAAAGCTAGTAGCCACTCAAATGACTTTTAACCCATCGGCTACTGGCTGTTGTTCAGGATTAGTGCTGTGACTGTTTTTGGCTCAATGGGGAGCCAAAAGTTCTGCATGATTAAATGGTTAAGATGTAAACCGATCAGGCGTAACATTATGACCACCTCCTTGTTTCTACGCTCATTGTCCATTTTATCAGCTCCACTTACTATATAGGTGCACTTTGTAGTTCTACAGTTACAGACTGTAGTCCATCTGTTTCTCTGATACTTTGTTAGCCCCCTTTTACCCTGTTCTTCAGTGGTCAGGACCCCCATGGACCCTCACAGAGCAGGTACTATTTGGGTGGTGGGTCATTCTCAGCACTGCAGTAACGCTGACGTGGTGGTGGTGTGTTAGTGTGTGTTGTGCTGGTGCGAGTGGATCAGACACAGCAGTGCTGCTGGAGTTTTTAAACACTGTGTCCACTCACTGTCCACTCTATTAGACACTCCTACCTTGTCAGTCCACCTTGTAGATGTAAAGTCAGAGACGATAGCTCATCTGCTGCTGCACAGTTTGTGTTGGTCATCCTCTAGTCCTTCATCAGTGGTCACAGGACGCTGCCCACAGGACGCTGTTGACTGGATATTTTTGGTTGGTGGACTATTCTCAGTCCAGCAGCGACACTGAGGTGTTTAAAAACTCCAGCAGCACTGCTGTGTCTGATCCACTCAGACCAGCGCAACACACACTAACACACCACCACCACGTCAGTGTTACTGCAGTGCTGAGAATGATCCACCACCCAAATAGTACCTGCTCTGTGAGGGTCCATGGGGGTCCTGACCACTGAAGAACAGGGTAAAAGTGGGCTAACAAAGTATCAGAGAAACAGATGGACTACAGTCTGTAACTGTAGAACTACAAAGTGCACCTATATAGTAAGTGGAGCTGATAAAACGGACAATGAGCGTAGAAACAAGGAGGTGGTCATAATGTTATGCCTGATCTGTGTAAACAGTCATTCAGAGTTGTTTGATGTGAAATGCTCCATTCTCAAGAAACTTACTTATCACAGTGGTGGTGATAGGATCCAGACGTTAGAGGTGTCTCTAAAAGCGCCCTCACAGAAGGATACTACATGATATGGTTATGAATACACTACCTGATATCTGAGACATACCTTTGCAGTAGTTTTGGCCTAAAATTTTAGGCACATGCAAGGCTTTATATGCCAAAACAGTCCCCAGAGATACTTATTTTTTGCACATTTACCACTTTTTCACAACCATCAACATCACATATAAAAACTTTTGACATGTTTAGGTTTACTGTTCATTTTGGATGGTAAATAAAATGACTATAGAAATATTTCTACTATAAAAAGTAAGTGAAGCATTTCACATCTAAACACTAACATCTTTTACATCTCAATGATTGTTATGAAGAAATTTAGAAAAATCTGTGGACTTTCCCTTTAATACTATGTGATCTTCATAGTGGTTGTGTGTTTGGGTGCAGATTGAGAAGCTGTCAGCTGTTGAGCACACCCCAAAAACTGCAGAACGAGATGTGCTGAAAGAACTGTTCCCCAACGAGGCCCTCAACACACCCACAGGAATCAGGTGAGACTATTGATTTCCCTGTAGTGCAAGTCCAAGTTCAGCCACATTATGTATTGTGTGAACGAGATTTTTTATTTTAGGGACCGTCTTATGGGAAAACAGACATTCCATTCCTTCCGTTTGTGAAATTGGAGATTGATGTATTATGTAAACATTAAGATAAAATAAAGCTGTTTACTCCCAAACTGCACAGTCCATGTGTGGACACAGCTTGGCCAATACAACCTACAGTACAACCTGAGCAATACAACTAAATCACCAGTGGCGACAGGTAGCAACTTTGGATTATTATTTTTAAGGGTAACTATTTATTACTATTATTCTGTATTTATTACCTTTTGCTTCTCTGTGTTTTCTTTTATCATTTTTGATCTTAAAATGTAACTGAGAGGCTTTAGCGTCACATGGATGCGTTCGCCTATCAAAAAAACCCTGCGTGCTCACTGGGTTTCAGCCAGAGCGGCAAAACGTGATGAACAAAGCAGATAAGACGAGCTGAGCTGAGCTTTCTGTGTTAAACATCGACATGTAGAAAATGGCAAAGTGAAAAATATCTGATTTTCCACACAATCCACATCTCTGTCAGACCTCTGTCAGAAGAGGTCATCTGCTTAATCCCAGTCTGAATCAGGACCAGTGAAAACCGTCCACTTCAAGCACTTCATGCAAAAATACAACCACAGAGAGACATTTCAGAACTTCTTGGCTCAGATATCATAAAGTAGACTAGGCTGTGAATTCTGTTCGAAAACAAGCAAAGATATAGCTGGAAAATTGGACGTCTTAACAGGAACGAATCATTTAAAAATAGAGACAAAGGCAAAAAGAATTCAGAAACAATGCAGAGTTTAAAATTTAATTCAACACAGCCTACATGATGATCTACCCTCCACCAAATTCACCTCCCAGCTCTTTTTAATGAAAAGGAAAAAAACGGACTGAATGTGTCAAAGATGTGTGATAATATGTATGACAAGAATCAGGCATGGTGGAAGGTAGAGATGCTTAAGAGATGACCTGAGGTGTGTTGAAAATCTGTATTTTTTGCATATTATTATTTGACGCTAGGGCTGGGCAGTTAACCGATCAACATTCAGAACCTCTAACTGACGTAATCTCGCCCGTGTCAGTAATTTAGATAATTCTCTTAATCCTTTCCCGACTCTGTGTGTTCATGTGCTGTACGTTTTTAAGCGGACTACCGCGCGTGTATCACGTGACTCCGCCACGTCCACTCTGCGACATGGAAGTTAAGGCTACATTCACGCAGCAGGTAAAAGTGGCCCAAATCTGATTTTCTCACCAAATCCGATTTATTTTTTGTTTGGCTGTTCAGATTATCTTTTAAATGTGATCTGTATCATCAGTCTGAACAGATCAGCTCCTAAACTGACCCGCATGCTCTAAAGAACAGAGCGTCACGCTGCTTCACGGCTCATCCAGAGGTAAACAATCACGACCACCAACGAGCGCCAGTCGCTCCCGGAGGATCAGCTTCATCTTCACCAGCATCACAGGAGCCATCATGAAGCTTCACTGACTGACAGCTGGGCTCATCACCCAGAATGTGTTCGAGCCGTAAAAAGGGCGCGGCCACTTCTTTGGTTCGTGTCCTCGGATTCTTTAAACTCTGCTTTCAGACTTTTAACTGTTCTTTGACGCTGCAGCCTCGTTCTCCTGCGGCCGCGTTCGGACATTTCTTTAGAAATCTCTTCAAACATGGAGGGTTTTGGATGAGTCTCTTCTAATTTTTGTACAGAAATATGAGCCCAAATGTTTTGAGTCTCAGCAGCCCGAAATTATGACCAATGTCGAGTTGGATTGACGTAAAAGCCGCGTGAATTCCGGTCTGGCTGTTCAGACGATTTACATTAAGATATGCAGAACATATTTACAGTGCAAACCTGGTCAGTGAACTATGAGGGCAAAAAAAAACAACAAACAAGCCAAAAAAAGACAAAAAATCATCGTTCATTAATCGTAATTGAGGTAAAATGTTCCATTAATCGTGATATTGATTTGAGGTCATATCGCCCAGCACTATTTGACACTTGCAGTATCAAGAGGAGCTACTTTAATGGTCATGTAAAAATGAATCACAGACATTAATAAAATCAGAGAAACTAATTAAGTGGACCAGAATGTGGCCACTTCAAATACAGTACCTTATACTGTTTCAGAAGGTTATTGATAGCATGTTCCCCTCTCTCTCTCTCTCTCTCTCTCTCTCTCTCTCTCTCTCTCTCTCTCTCTCTCTCTCTCTCTCTCTCACTGTTCCTGCTTTCTTCAGTGCTACCCGTCGCCAGCCGATTAAAGGAGCAGCCGGTCGGCCCTTCAGTGACGCGTGGAGGGACGAACTGCGTCCACGTCTCACCGAGCTCAGACAGACCACCTCGTCCTACACAGAGAGCCGTTCCATCTCTCGCGCCAGCGCCACCCCCCTCTCCTCCGCTCCCCTCTCCTCTGTTCCCCTCTCTTCCGTTCCCCTCTCCAGCGTTCTCAAGCCTGCAGCGCCGCCTAGTGTACAGGCCAAAACCCGGCGCCGCCTGCCAGTGTGGGTGCAGCTGCTGCTCCTCAGTGCTGTGGCTGGCTTCCTATTCTTTGTTTACCAGGCCATGGAGACCAACGAAATCAGCCCGTTCGGCCAGCCGGAAAGCAGCAGCTCGTCACAGGGCACCAGCAAATGAACTCCCTTTCACTCACGTCCCTCTTCGGTTCTCGCCCCAGCTAGAACTTCTCTTCAGCAGCCTCGGACAATTGGTCAAAAGACCACCTGTGGACTTCTTTTTTCCCCCCTCCATACATTCAAGACAGTAAACCACAGATTCTCCATCTTTGTTCTCATCTTTCTAACTGACGTCTGGTCATCGTCCAGAAACAAAGGACCTTCTGCAGGTTTAGGTGAACCTCTTTTGTCCCCAAGTGTGAAAACATTTGAATTTTTTTTTTTTTTCTCGTCTGTTTTGAGGGTCTCTGTTTTGGGCTCTTTTTGGTGCTGGGGATGCTTTTTGGTGGGTTAATAAGAAGCATCTATGTGAAGATGAAATTAAGGACTAGCCAAAGGAGCAGTGAATAATCATGTGTGTGTATGTGAACATGATCTGTAAAGGCACACTGTGGCTCTGGATTCACGGGTTAGCCAGCTACGGTTTTAACCCTCAGCTCTTTGCCGCTGCAGTTACTTTCACTTAATTAAGTCCGCCTTAAACTGTACTGAACTGAACTGAAAATAAGGCCGAATGGTCGTCTCACTAGCCCATGAATCCTGCTTCACGGTGAGCCAGACTAGCGTCTGTGTGACAAACGTTTGCGCATTTAATTTCATGTATTTCTCTGTAAGAGCGTAACTCATTTAACACTGTCGCCTCTTATAGTATTTATGTATGTAAATCGCGTTTGAAGTATAATAACGTTGAGGATCACTTTGATTCAGGTATGACGCCACAAACTTGTGCCAGTATATTCAAAAATGTCACTGCTGGCTTCTGTTTAAAGAGCAGGAACACCTGGCTCTTAAAGGGCAATTCCACCCAAATTTCTGCAGAATTCAATCGCATGTAAACACAGTCACTCAGAGTTGTTTAATGTGGATGAGAAACTTAGCAAGTCAGAATTGTTCACAGTGTTGGTGATGGGAACCAGACGTCTGAAGAGTTTAGTGCCATTTAAAGTTCAATTTTGGAAAATTATTACATGAAAGGGTTGCAAAACTGATACCTGAGACGCTCGAAACATTTTTTTAATAGTGAATGAATGGCGGAGAGATACATGCAGAGTGTTATGAGGCAAAATAGACCCCAAAGAAAACACATTGATTCATATTTCCAACTTTAACATCAACATTCCATATAAACTCAGAAGACTCGTGTAGGTTCACTGGTGGTTCTGGATAGTAAATAAAATGTCTATATTTGTATTGTAGTCATGGCGACCCCTGGTTCCTATCACCATCACTGTAAAGAAACCTGAAATTTTCAAAAAGAGGTGGAATTCCCCTTTAAGTAAAAGAATATCTTATATTTGTGAAAATAATAATAATAAATAATAATTGACCTAAACAGCTTATTAGTTTTGATAAACAATTTTCTATCATCCTAACAATTTCAAAATATATTGTAAAATTTTTAAAAGTTGAATTTTTTGTCTATTCAAATAGAAAATGATTTGCATTTGGTAGAATATTTGTGATCCCAACTATGTTAATTGATGGCTTGCAAAAGTCAGTCATATGCAAAATGTTTTGTTCATATATATATTATTATTATTTTTTTTTGTAAGTGAAAATAAGTTAACACACTGCACAATTTACAGCACAATACAACACGATTACTGTTAATTTGTTCAGTTTAACAAACTGGAAATAAATCATAAATGTGGTTTGTGTGCAAAAGTCACATTTTTATGATTTATATCTTTCCAATCTGAACCCAGCAAAGAGAATAGAATCAGTTAACATATTTTCACTTAGAAAATCAACAAATCATGTATTTGACTGGAGGATTTAAGACTTTTGCATAAAGACTGAAGTGCTGAAGATGTGAAGCAGCTTCTCTTCGCCATTGTAATTTCAGTATATCTATGTCGTCTGAAGTACTTAATGTATTTATTTGTGTTTGGGAGGGCGGAGCTGACCGGAGGACTTGGGTTGGGCTTTTGAATCTGATGTTTAGTTTTTGTTTTTTATACTGTAGATGGCACAATATTATTTGTAGAAAGCAAAAATAAACTTCATATCAAACTTTTCTGTCCTGTGTGCTCTTACTCAAAGGGGGATTCCACCAGTTTTTCTAAATTTCTGCCTAATTCAGTCTTTGATTCAAGTCATTCAGACTGGTTTGATGTGAAATTGCTCCTCTGTAGAGAAACTTGCCGACTGAGGTTTCTTTACAGTGGTGGTGATAGGAACCAGGCGTCGCCATGACTACAACACAGATATAGACATTTTATTTACTATCCAGAACCACCAGTGAACCTACACGAGTCTTCTGAGTTTATATGGAATGTTGATGATGGAAAATAGTGGAAAATCTGAAATAATAAGTTTTCTTTGGGGACTATTTTGCCTCACAACACCCTGCATGTATCCCTCCACCATGAATGGATTTTAAACAGTTTTGTGCCAAAATCTTCTCAAATCTATCATAAAACAGTGTCTCAGTCATCAGGCAGTGAATTCATAACCATAATAACTTTCTGTGAGGGAGCTTTTAGAGGTGGACGTCTGGTTCCTATCACCACCACTGTGAACAGTTCTGACTCTAGAACGGAGCATTTCGCACCAAACCACTCTGAGTGACTCTGCTCCATTTAATTATACAGAAATTTTGGCAAATCGGTGGAGTTCCCCTTTAATCCACTGTCTTATCCTCTTTCTCCAGACTGTGGAAGACAGAGGCGTGTGGAGTGAGACTGGACGCTGCAGGCAGTGATCTCCTGCAGGGAGGGAGGCCACACCACCACGCAGGACTGCCGGTTGGTCACCAGGACAGGAATAGTCCGTCTCTATAAAGAGTGACCTAATCTCCTTACGCCTCCTGCTGCCCCGGCCTAACTAAGTCTGAGCCCTTGAAACGCAGCTTGTGACATATGTCACCCCTTCTTATCACTCAGTGAACGCAGATCGTCTGAGCTTCTACATTTTAGATGTAATATTTAAAGTTTTCTCAGAGTGCACGAACTTAAAATTGTGTTTTTATTGTTAGGTTTTATTTCTCCGCAGCCAAAAGCCTCAGAGTCGTCCCTCGTTCATCTTCGCCTGGGTGTAAAGCCACTCTTCCTCTCTCTGACGTCAGAGAAGGACGAAGTGATTTAGCGAGCGAGGTCATCTGATGTCTGAGACTGGCCAGAGGCTGCTGGAGCCGTTCAGTCCCCCCACTGAACAGGTGAGAACCTTCGTTTCTTTATATTGTGATCCTAGACATTAGGAATGTACAACGTCTGGTAAGAGTGTGTTAAAGCATGCAGAAGTCCAGAACTGAGGGACTTTTAATTTATAATTTTTCTTTTGACCTCTAGAGGTGAGCAGCCTGCACTGTTCACTCAGTTGCAATTAACTGAGTACAGTTTTGATGGGTTTATACCTTTCTGAGTATTTCAAATGATAAAACTCAAGTAATAATAATAATAATAGTAATAATAATAATAATACAATGCTGGAGAGTCTTCTGGGATTGTCATTGTCAAAGACATTCTGGAAGAATATTAAAGAGGAGTTGGAGAAAATCAATGGACCCGTTACTGTTCTCGTTGGACGTGTTGCCTGAACTGTGTTACATACTGTATGTTTTGTTGATGGTTGCAAGAAAATTAATTACTATTAATTGGATGAAGGCTAATCCCCCGATGAGTGTTCAGTGGTTACAAAAAGTCAAGCATGTTTATATGATGGAACACATAACAGCCCAGCTACAGTTAAAATGACCTGTTTTTATAAGAAGATGTAAACCTGCTATTGTTTACCTCAGTTATGTGTGTGGAGGTATAGAATGTGTTCATGTTCTGTCCCTGTATGTTAAGTATGTTAAGCCCTGATCTCAAGGTGAATTTGTTATATGTTAATTGTCAGTCACTGTGTGTTAATGGCAATAAAGTAAAAAAATAAATAAATAAATAAAAATAATACATTTTATTTATTTAGAACACTTTTCATGACAATGTCAACTCAAGATGCTTTACGGAAAAATAAACAAAACAAAATAACAAAAAAAAAGCAAAAGAAGAGTCTTAAGATTCTACTTAAAAAGATCCAGAATATAAAAAGTCTTAGGATTGTTTTTAAAATGAGAAGTGCATTTGTAAAAAAGAAATAAGTGTGTTTGTAAAAGAGATAAGTGCGTTTGTAAAAAAAGAGATGTGCGTTTGTAAAAGAGAGATAAGTGTGTTTGTAAAAAAGAGAATAATGCGTTTGTAAAATAGAGATAAGTGCGTTTGTAAAAGAGAGATAAGTGTGTTTCTAAAAAAGATACGTGCGTTTGTAAAAAAAGAGATAAGTGCGTCTGTAAAATAGAGATAAGTGCGTTTGTAAGAAAAGAGATAAGTGCGTTTAAGTGCGTTTGTAAAATAGAGATAAGTGCGTTTGTAAGAAAAGAGAAGTGCGTTTGTAAAATAGAGATAAGTGCGTTTAAGTGCATTTGTAAAAGGGAGATGTGTGTTTGTAAAATAGAGATTAACGCGTTTGTAAAAAATAGAGATAAGTGCGTTTGTAAAATAGAGAAGTGCGTTTGTAAAATAGAGATAAGTGCGTTTGTAAGAAAAGAGATAAGTGCGTTTAAGTGCGTTTGTAAAATAGAGATAAGTGCGTTTGTAAGAAAAGAGATAAGTGCGTTTAAGTGCGTTTGTAAAAAAAGAGATAAGTGCGTTTGTAAGAAAAGAGAAGTGCGTTTAAGTGCGTTTGTAAAAAAGAGATAAGTGCGTTTGTAAAAAAGAGAAGTGTGTTTGTAAAAAAGAGATAAGTGCTTTTAAGTGCGTTTGTAGGAAAAGAGTTAAGTGCTTTTAAGTGCGTTTGTAGGAAAGGAATCTGTCTGTTCATCAGTTCCATTTGGGCGCTTCACAGTGATTGTCCTGTGTATTATTTCCTGTGTTTTCCTCTGTTCTTAATTTATTATTTTCTTTTCTTTTTTAATTTATTCCTGTATTTTTAGCTGCTGGGCTGCTTTACTGTTTTACACTCTTCTTACTTTCAAGTTTTGGATGTTTTTTATTTTAGACCGACGGGATCAGAAAGAGAGGAGAGTAGAGCTTTACAGACAAAACGTTTCACTTTTTTGTTTTGTTTTATTTTGTTTTTTCACTGTTTTTGTTTTTTATTTGATTCAACAGCAGCACTTTTACCTAAGAATGGCTTTAGGCCGCTCTACGCTCACCTCTCTGTTCTTTTATCCCTGTGCAGCTAAGCCTCTGACCTGACCATGTACCCGTCTACGCTAACGCAGTTAGCCCGGGCGAATCCCTTCCACTCCCCGTTAATCTCCTTCCACCAGCGAGACGAAGGGAGACGCGCTCCCCACTTAAAAGGAGCCACACATCGCGAACTCGCCGCAGCCTCTTACAATGGTAGCTATTCTACATTAATACACTGAGCAGTGAATTAAATATGACTGCTGCAGAAATGTGCTGAAGGGGAGTTCCACCCATTTTCCAAAATTTCTGCATATCTCATTCAATAAAATGTAAACAGAGTAATTCAGAGTGGTTTGGTGTGAAATGGTTGATTGTAGAGACTCAGCGCGTATGACTGTATATTATTTTACATCATTTAACAAAATCTGTGATCATTTTGTCTGCAAATGATTTTTATTTATTTATAATTCTTTTATTTTGCTTTTTTCATGATTATGTTGCTTTGCTGAAATGATTTCACCTTAAATGGGAATTCTGCGGAAGTCCGGAGAGGCCATGAGGTAGATGTAACTTTCTGAATCGATATCATGAGGTAACCAGTTAATTATCTTGTGATCTCAGGATAACAAAGTTGTTTTATTGAGATAATAAAGTAATTATATTGTGATCTCGAGATAAAAAAGTTTGAGATTACAAGATAACTATCCAAAGTTGTAAAGTTGTTATCTTGAAATCACAAGATAATTAACTTGTTATCTCAAGAAAACAACTTTGTTATCCTGGGATCACAAGATAATTAGCTTGCTATCTCATGATAACAACTTTTGTTATCTTGAGATAACAAGATGACTAACTCGTTGTTTCAAGATATCAACTTTGTTATCTTGAAATAACAAGATCATTTACTTGTTATCTCAAGATAACAATCCAGAAAGTGATATCTACCTCATGACCTCTCCGGACTTCTGTAGAATTCCATCAGTTTTTATAATAACTTAATAACTTTCTGTGAGGCAGCTTTTAGAGGTGGACGTCTTGGTCCAGATTCACAAAAGTGTCTTAAAAAAGAAAATCTTCTTAAATGTGTGTTTTCTTAACTTCACTCTTAAATATAAAGTTATGAGAAATTGTTATTCTTTAAATAAACTCTTATGAATTCTCCTATTTTGTTTTCTGAGCTTTTTTCTTAGGAATGATTCTAATAACAAGTGATATTCTTGAAAATATTATGTTCTTAAATGTTTTCTTAACCTTACGACAGACTCACCCTGTCTTAGGCAGTGAGAGTCGACGAGGTCAGCATCTAAATTTCTCTCGGACGCTGCCTCTACTGCTCCTCATCCTCGTCCTTCACCCCACAATTATCATAGTTTCCAATGAGGATTTTTTCCTGTTGGCTGTTTCCTCTACTGTCACCTCTGGATCTTATTTGCTAATTTTTTTTAAACGCTTGGTTTGATGTTTTTCTTCCATTTTGCTTTTCTGAGCGGATTAAACTAAATAATGGAAAAAAAATAATACAAATTCAAAATGTATTGTGTCGTTTATGGTATGTGACGTTTATGAAATGCGACGTAGCTTACATGAGAAAACATCTTAAGAGAATATTTGAGAACTTCTTGATTTTTTTTTCAAGAATTGCATTTAAGAACATCTTATGGACTTCCTGTGTGTTTGTCTTAAGAACCTTCATAAGTTCTTTCTTAAGAAAGCTTTTGTGAGTCCAGCCCCCGGGACCCCCACAGGACCACCACTGTGAACAATTCTGACTCTGTAAGTTTCTCTAGAACAGAGCGTTTCACACCAAATCACTCTGAACGACTCTGTTTACATAAATTAACCATTTAATTATGCAGAAATTGTGAAACATAAGAGGAAGTCCTCTTTAAGAGGCTCTCAAGGGAAATAAAGCTGATTTCTAAACCCACCCTTGGGAGAAGAGAGGAGGTTAATATAAGGGTTTCATTATAGGAACTTTTGGTGATGAATCAGAAACGCTTCGCAATTTTATACTGTTTTCCTGGTATCCTGTATTCCTAACGTCATATCCAACAGCTTTGCTTTGCTTGCTTCCCTTGTAGAGGCGGACGTGAGCTGTGAGTACGGCTCCAACAAATACTACGCCCTCTGTGGCTTCGGAGGCATCCTGAGCTGTGGACTCACACATACAGCAGTCGTGCCCCTTGACCTGGTCAAATGCCGCATCCAGGTTTGTGTCTACATTTTTCTGCATGCTGAGAAGTTGAGCTTACGCCCAAATGTGAATTCATGGTCGTTCATAAGCCGTTTAGAGGGGGAAGGAGGTCATAACTGAGGACTGTACACTGTCTTTCAGGTGAACCCAGACAAATACAAGTCCATCTTCAACGGCTTCTCCGTAACTCTGAGGGAGGACGGCTTCAGGGGCCTGGGCCGAGGCTGGGCCCCGACCTTCATCGGCTACTCCATGCAAGGCCTCTGCAAGTTTGGCTTCTACGAGCTCTTCAAGGCCCTTTACAACGACATGCTGGGAGAGGTGGGCTTCATGAACTAGGGGCTGTATTATCTTACCTGTATAGTCTCCATGACGACTTCAGTAGAAAGTGAATTTGGGACAGAAGCTATTACAGAATAACAGCTCCTAACTTCATAATCTCATCATGAACTCCAGATAAGAAAACAGCATCACACAAACATCCTAACTAGACTAAACCTCCTAAATCCTGTCCTAACTTTAGGATGAACCCCAACAGGGTCCTCACTTCTGTTTAAGGTCCGTTTCTATGGTTTTTAGGCAGCTGTGTCAGCAGCGTAGTTCACTACCAGCATAATGAGCTCCATTTATTTCTACTGTAAAACGCTGCTTTCACTGTGAGACGATTTTCTTTTCTAACTCTGCGTTTTAAAGATCTCAGACGCTGCAGACTCGATCTCCACCGCCCCTCTGATCACCTTCGTGTGTTAATGTTGATGATGAAATATTACAGTGATGGTGGTGAATAATGAGGAGACGGAGCTGAACGTGTGTCTGTTTATTAGGAGGAGTAACGTTAGCGCGCTCGGCTAAAGCGTTTGGGAAATGGAGACTGAAACTGAGGGAGCGGCGACGCTCTGATAAACAGCAGGGGGCGCTCTCACAGTATTCACTACTTACAGTTTATCACACTTTTGTTTGACCTTTTTTACATCAGTAACTGGAGCTGTCTGACTAACTAACCTGATTATTTTGATTACGTGTTTACGTTTCAGCTGTGCGCATATAGTCGGTTGCTAGGTAACAGACATGACAGTTGATTGTCGACTTTGAACCAGTAAGTTAGGAATTCCTAACATAAGATAAGATTCCTAAATTAAGGTCAGATTTGCTTCTATAAAACAAATCTGTGAATAATCTTGTCTTGACCTGTCAGATCTTAAGACAAAAAGGCAGGAAGTTTCTGTATTAAAGCCCCTGGAATCTTTCAAACATGTCTTTCCAGTGCTGTCTGACCACGGTCATCTCTCTTAAACAGGAGAACGCCTACCTGTGGAGGACGTCTGTTTACTTGGCCGCCTCTGCCAGCGCAGAGTTCTTCGCTGACATCGCGCTGGCCCCCATGGAGGCGTGTAAAGTGCGCATCCAGACACAGCCGGGATACGCCAGCACCCTGAGAGAGTGCACCCCAAAGATGTACGCCGAGGAGGGACTGTGGGCGTGAGTACGGTTCAGTTACTGGAGGCTGAGCGTCGTGAGGATGAATATAACAGCTCAATCAGTGAAGTGTGCTTCAGAACTTACAGTGAGGGGAAATAAGGTTATATCACATCAGGGGAAATCTATTTCTTGGTCCACAGTCTATATTAAATACTTAGGAGCCTATTTAATGTAATTGATATATCATATTTATGCTCGTCAAAAATTACTTTGTGGCTCCAAAGTGGTCTTAATAGCGGGAACAGAGCGCATTAATAAGCAAACAAACCCTCATAATGTCAAGTAATTGGCATTAAAACATAGATCAAGATTATGTAATGCCCAAGTAGCACTTTTTTAGCACTCAGTATTCACTTTTTTCAAGTATTCAGACACTTTTTTATTATTTAATATACTTCCAGTGCATATACCTATTTCAGATTTACACACATATTAGCCCTTATTCATCAAAGTTGTGTAAAATAAAATAAGAGCGCCCTTAACAACGGATGAACTTATTTGTGTCTGATTTATGAAACTGAGATTTGAGAATAAATGATGAATCAGTTTCAGTGCGTGAAATCAAGCACCAGCCAACCAGCACCTCATTTTCATATCATTTACATTAAGCACACCCTAATTCATGCAAGGAGCCAATAAAACGACAGTATTCAGTGGCTTGTGAGCTGTTTGTAGCTTGTAGGTAAAGTGAGAAATAAACAGAATGTCTGATTTTTTTAAAGATGGTGGAATGATGTGATTATTTTCCTAAAATAGCATTTAAACACTGTATTATTGCAGTGTGTGACAGATGAACTCCTACCAGACCTGAGTTTAATCATGGCAGATTCGCCAAAGATGAAATTGATGGAAAACAAAACTGTTGGTAAAATGTATGTGCGCTCATTTTATGATCGCATTTGACCGCATACAACTCAGATGAGTAAAGGCCATTGTTTTTGTAAAATATGAACAAAAAGTATGAACTTATAAGCATGAACAAATATGTTTAAAAAACAACATTGACTGTAAAAAGTATTCAGACAGTATATCAAAATATACATATATGTGAAGGTTAAAAGAAAAATAAATCAGCGTTCTATATATTAATGCTGCAAAAATAAAATAAAAATCTTCTCGTGCAAGTTGAACTTGGTGTCATTACAAAAGACGCTGCCAAAAAGAAGCTCTAAATCTAAACTTTTCAGAGAAATCAGATCATTTCTGCAACAACATCCTCTAATCAGACAAAATAAAAACAGAACTCTGTGGCAATAATTCAGCTCATGTTTGGAGAAAGAAGTGTTGAGCGTTTGATCCCAAGAATGCCCACAGTGAAGTACGAAGGTGGGAGCATCATCATATGTTTATGCTTTATTTGTGTTTATCATCGCTGTCCAAACCATAGTAGTAAAAATAAAGGTAACTTTACAGAAGAGGGCAAAAACCTTCTTACCTTTCAATGTAAGTTAATGCAAAGAGCTTTTATTCCAGGTGATTTTAGAGCATTTCTGTTGGTCCATTCATCATGAAATTTTCACACAATATAACGGAGAACTGCTGTGTTCAAATGATGCAGAAAAATAACAATTGACAAAAATGGAGATACATGCTTTTCTTTGGACAGTGACGTTATGCTTATGCATATATGTTTTTTGTTTACATATATATATATATATATATATATATATATATATATATATATATATATATATATATATATATATATAGCTGTTGTCAGAACAAAACATCATATCTCCAAAGTGGTAACTTTTAATGTAAGTCAATGGAACCAAATGTTTTTCCAAGCAATTTTAGGCCTTTTTTTTAATCCGTTCACCATGAAATTCACACACAATGTACAGGCACACATATATATAAAGGCTAATCCGAAGTGCATATATGTACTGGAAGTATATTAAATAACAAAAACAAAAGTGTCTGAATACTTGAAAAAGTGAATACTGAGTACTAAAAATGTGCTACTTGGGTATTACATAATCCTGATCTATATATTAATGCCTATTTACATTTTGAGAGTTTGTTTGCTTATTAATGCACTGTGTTCCAGTCATTAAGACCAATTTGGACCCATAAAGTAATATTTGGTGAGCATAAATATGTTATATAAATAACATTAAATAGGCTCCAAAGTGTTTACATAGATTGTGGACCTGCAAATAAATTGTCTCTGATGTAATAAAACCTGTTAACTGGGAAATAGGAGGAAAAAAACATTCTCAGTTTTAATGTCTGTTATGGAGTGAGATGTTATCAAGCCTTGTATCATAAAATGTTAACACAACTTAAAGGGTCACTGTCGTTTTAATATGTAAAAAAAAAAGTAATAGAGCATCTCGAAGGCCCAGAAAGCAGGTGGACATATGTACCTTTGACAGATGCATCTTCTTGTCCTCTCAGCTTCTACAAAGGTGTTTACCCGCTGTGGCTGCGGCAGATCCCCTACACCATGATGAAGTTCGCCTGTTTCGAGCGCACCGTGGAGATGCTCTACAAGTACGTGGTGCCGAAGCCTCGCAGCGCCTGCTCCAAACCCGAACAGCTCGTGGTCACCTTCATAGCGGGCTACATTGGTGAGTGACCCACTAAGAGGTTGATCTGGGACGTCACTGGATATCAGTGATACCACATGTTACCTGTGTGAGGTGATTTATATCTGTGAATGATGGTGTGTTGCTACTACTGCACCCTTAGAAAACAATACATCCTTTACAACTCGTACAAAACGCAGCAGCATCCTAACAAAAACAACACAGAGAGATCAGATCAGTCCTGTTTTAAAAGAGCTGCTCTGGCTGCCTGTATCATCCAGGATAGAGTTTAAAGCTCTGCTACTAGTTTTTAAGGCTCAAAATGACCTTAAAGCACCATTTACATCACAGAGTGTCTGTCTGTTTATGATACTGACCTACAGACACCTTCAGTAAAATACAGAAAACAGAGAGACTCTTTCAGTTATTCTGCTTCTAAACTGTGAAGCTCAGTTCACCTTTTATTCGACAGTCGAGCTCAGAGCATCTAAAAACTCAAACTCAGCATTGAATTAAAACTTTTACAAACTCTAGTTATCCTTTAATTTGATCTGAGTCGTTTTCTCAAATGATTCTAAATTCATACTTATAATTTCTTGTATTGCTGATAAGCTTTATCTCCTGTCTGTAAAGCACTTTGATCTGCCATCGACATGAAAAGTGCTATAAAATTAAAAAATATTAAATTATTATTATCATTATTATTATTAACAGTGGTTCCCCAAGGGTTCTGTAGTATGGTTATATACAGTCATATGCCACAGTTTGAACACCCTCAGTCAAGTTATGTTTATTTGCTCAGCAAATAAACAGTAATTGTGCATTTAAATGTACAGAAATATGTGCTGCTTACACATTACGTAATTTTGATTTTTGTATTAATGAAAATGTTTTAATTAACTTGAAAACCTGTGTTGCGGACTATCGGACCCATTTTTAATATTTACCAAAAGAAAAAATTTAGATATTTATTATTATTTCAGCCTCAGATTCTCGGCCTTTGTTCATTTTCTGTGAAGAACATATAAAATAACCCGTTTTCAGTGTCTTCACTCTGTTCACCCCCCACACATTTATATTACACATGTGGTGTTGGGTGAACCCGCGGGGAGTAAAAGTGTGTGTGTGTGAGGGTGGACAACTTGGACAGGCTGCTGACTGGCTACAGCTGCTAAAGGAGAACCCTACGCTGACCACCTGTGATATTTCAAACATCTGATATTTTTACATAAATTATTTTGGCTGTATTGATTTAAAGACCAATAATGTGGTGGGTCCAGCAGACCACTGAGTAACACACACATCAACACCACACAAGGGTTAACAAAGTCAGTTGCCACAGACCAGACGACCACAGTATCAGCCTTTACCAGGTTTGGTCTGGCAGTGGCGCTCCAGAACCAGGACATCCATAAAACAGCAAGACTGTAGATCTTACTCTTGCTTTCTTTCCTGCTGTCAGAGAAGCCACTGTTTACTGTTTTCTATTGACTGGATTTCAAGGAAAGTATTGAAATATCACAGAACAGAAACAAGGCTGGATCTAAGGGCAGATCTAGTTCTAGAAGAGTAGCGGGAAAGGAAGCTGTCGTTTCGCAGAGACGCTTCACTGGAGGGCACTGCCAGAAAACATGAATAAATGTTCTGAGAGCATCTGAGGAGCATTTAGAGCAAAGTTTATCAGCAGAAAGTTTCATTTGGAATGCCTGGTAAAGGGTTATATAAAAAAAATGATTTTGAATGAATTTTCTGAAAATATTTGGACGATTTTTGTTCATTTAGTGCATACATTCTGTTTATTTGCTGAGTTTAACATATTGGAAAAACAAAAATAAAACATAAATGTATAATGTGCCATAACTCTTGCTCAGGGCACTTTTTGTGTGTATTATTGTGTTTTTCCAGTATGCTAACCCCTTAAAGGAGCATGTTACAGTCACATGCAAACATTTGAATACCCTCAGTTTCTAAATGAAAATAAGTTAAGATGTCCTCTACAGAGGACACACTTAAATATGACGTTTAGTGGGCCCAAAGTTTTTTACACACTTCTATAAAGAACAGTTCAGCCGGTTTGCATCTACGTCCCTGTAGTAACTACATGGTGCACCTTAGTATGTAATAAGCCTGAGATTTTAAGGGGTTGAATTCAGTAAATAAACAATTCCTAATTGTGCATTAAAATGTGCAGAACCGTGTTCTCTATAGAGGACGTGTTCACTTATTTACACTTAGTAAATCAACAAAACAGGGAATTTGACCAGGGGAACCCAAACTTGTGCATGCTATTGTATTTTGAAAAGTGATAGTTGGGCTCAAACAGCTCGATTTGAGGTGCAAAGAAATAAAGAAAGGCGTGAATCACAGATGGGCGAAAAAGCGCAGCTCTCGCTCCTTATTAAGCTCATTTAACTTTCATATAAATAAGGAAGTTGAACAGTTTTATGAGGAGTGAGAGCTGCACCTTTAAACCACAGGTTCTATTCTGAACACTTACCTGAACTCCGCTTTTCTCCCCATCTAGCTGGAATATTCTGTGCTGTGGTGTCTCACCCAGCTGACTCGGTGGTGTCTGTGCTGAACAAGGAGAAAGGCAGCTCGGCCGTGCAGGTGCTTAAGAGACTGGGGCCCAGAGGTGAGTCTTTCAGTTTCACATGGGCACATACACAGTGATGGATTAGTGACCAGGCCAGGGGACCTCAGACCTCATGGCCCGGCTCAAAAACTGGAGACAGTCTACTGCAGATGCAAAAATTAGATGAATGAATTCACTGTATTTGAAGACTAAGTGTAAAGACCAAATAAAGTGGCCAGTGGGTGAAGTACAAGATAGTTGTTTCTAATAAAGTGGCCAGTGAGTGAAGTACAACCATATTTAAAGGGGAATTACATTAACGTTCAAATTTTGTGCATAATTAAATCTTTAAGATGTAAACAACGTCAGTTGGAGTGGTTTGATATGAAACATGCCATTCTAAAGAAACCTAACGAATCAATATTGCTCACAGTGGTGGTGATAGGAACCAGACATCTGTTACCTCACAGAAAAATATTACAAAAAATTGTTATGAATATGGTTCCTAATGCTTAAAACATTATTTTTCAATAGTTTTGAGGTAAGGCTTTGGCCTAAAATATATTTTTTTACAGCAATCATTTTTGCTTCCAGATTACCCACTATTTTACCATCATTAACATTACTTACAAAACTCAAAAGACATGTGTAGGTTCACTGGTACCTTTTTGGACAGTGAATAAAATAATATATTTTTGTTATATATACACTATATGTATAAAAAGTATGGCCAACACTCCTAATTATAGAGTTCAGGTGTTTCAGCCACACCCATTGCTAACAGGTGGATAAAATCAAGCACACAGCCCTGCAGTCTCAATAGACACTGGCGGTAGAGGGTCGTACTAAAGAGCTCAGAGGCTTTATACATGGTGCTGTAATAGGATGCCACCTCTGCCACAAGTCAGTTCATGAAATTTCTGTCCTGCTAGATCTGCCCCAGACAACTGCTATTAAGTGCTATTATTGTGAAATGGAAGCGTCTAGGAGCAACAACAGCTCAACCACGAAGCAGTAGACCACATAAACTCACTGAGTGGAGCCGCCGAGTGCTGAAGTATGGAAAAAATCAGCTGTCCTCTGTTGCATCACTCACTACAGAGTTCCAATCTGCCTTTGGAAGCAACATCAGCACGAGAACTGAGCATTAGGAGCTTCATGAAACGGGTTTTCACGGCCGAGCAGCTGCATATAAGCCTAAGATCACTATGCACAATGCCAAGTGTCGGCTGGAGGGGTGTAAAGCACGCTGCCACTGGACTCTGGAGCAGTGGAAACTCTGGAGTGATGAATCAGCTTCACTATCTGCCAGTCTGATGGATGAATCTGGGTTTGGTGGATGTCAGGAGAACGTTACCTACTGGAATGCAGAGCCAACGGTAGAGTTTGGTGGAGGAGGGATGATGGGCGGGGCTGTTTTTCAGGGTTTGGGCTCTCAGTTCCAGTGAAGGGTGATGTTGATGCTGCAGCACAAAGACATTTTACACAATTATCTGCTTCCAGCTTTGTGTCAGCAGTTTGGGGAAGAGCCTTTCCTGTTCCAGCATGACTGAGCCCCTGAGCACAAAGCAGCTCCATAAAGACATGGAGTGACCAGTTTGGTGTGGAGGAACTCCAGTGGCCTGGACAGAGCCCTTGACCTCAACCCCATTGAACATTGATTGTGAGCCAGGCCCTCTCATCCAACATCAGTGTCTGACCTTATAAATGCTCTTCTGGATGAACAGTGCACAAATTCCCACAGACTCTCTCCAAAATCTTGTTGAAAGCTTCCCAGAAGAGTGGAGGCTGTTGTAGCTGCAAAGTGTGTTGGGGGCAACTCTGGTTAGGTGTCCACATACGTCTGGTCATATAGTATATATCGCGACCCCTGGTTCCTATCACCACCACTGTAAAGAGTCTCTTCAATGAACCATTTCACATATAACCACTCTGAAGGATTTTGTTTACAACTCAGTGATTGAATTGTACAGAAATGTTGATACAATATGAAGAAATATAACTGTGCAGGATTTGAAAGATTATTGCACGAATAGTTTACATTACATTTTTTGATGTAGATGTATTTTTTTTTTTCTTTAGTTGTTTCTAAAGGGGGGGGCTTCCAAAGACACTTAGCCCAGGGGTATTTTCAGACTGTGATCTGTCCATGCACACATACACACACCCACACCAGGTTAGATGTGATACACTGAGTGTGCAGTTCCCTTAGTGACCACCTGGGGTTGCTCTTGTCCCACAACTGCTGGCTTTAGAGCGGATGGTTCTGTGTGTTTCTGAACTTCTTCAGTCTTATTTTTCGTGCTGAATGTGATGATCGGTTGCTGTTTTGTTTTTTCACCTTTACTTTGCACTGATCCTCATTAGGGCTGCATTTTCCCTTACAAAGTGAACAAAACATAATATGATAGGGGTGCCCAAACTTTTGCATATTGCATTCGCAATTGCACAACATTTCAGACATGTGAGATAGATAGAGTCACATGAGAAATAAATAAAAAGATTCCCAAATGGAGCTGAGTGACTTCATCCCCAATATCACTGAGCTGCATTAACTATTAGCCACATACACCAATCAGGCATAACATTCTGACCACCTCCTTGTTTCTACGCTCATTGTCCATTTTATCAGCTCCACTTACTATATAGGTGCACTTTGTAGTTCTACAGTTACAGACTGCAGTAACACTGACGTGGTGGTGGTGTGTTAGTGTGTGTTGCGCTGGTCTGAGTGGATCAGACACAGCAGTGCTGCTGGAGTTTTTAAACACTGTCTCCACTCACTGTCCACTCTATTAGACACTCCTACCTTGTCAGTCCACCTTGTTGATGTAAAGTCAGAGACGATAGCTCATCTGCTGCTGCACAGTTTGTGTTGGTCATCCTCTAGTCCTTCATCAGTGGTCACAGGACGCTGCCCACAGGACGCTGTTGGCTGGATGTTTTTGGTTGGTGGACTATTCTCAGTCCAGCAGCGACACTGAGGTGTTTAAAAACTCCAGCAGCACTGCTGTGTCTGATCCACTCAGACCAGCGCAACACACACTAACACACCACCACCACGTCAGTGTTACTGCAGTGCTGAGAATGATCCACCACCCAAACAGTACCTGCTCTGTGAGGGTCCATGGGGGTCCTGACCACTGAAGAACAGGGTAAAAGGGGGCTAACAAAGTATGCAGAGAAACAGATGGACTACAGTCTGTAACTGTAGAACTACAAAGTGCACCTATATAGTAAGTGGAGCTGATAAAATGGACAATGAGCGTAGAAACAAGGAGGTGGTCAGAATGTTATGCCTGATTGGTGTGTAACTCGTTACGTTCAAAATAGCTACAAATGGACGGCATTTGTAACTGAATTACACTAGATTTAGGCTTCCTTGTGTCTTGGTCAGATGACCTCTCTGCTGCAGATTCCCCAATTCTCTTTTTCTCAAGCGGTGACACAACAATCGTCAAGATGTTGTGAAATAACGGCAGGCCCTTCACTGAACTAGGACCCTTTGCGAAAAAGTGAACTTTACACATGTGGCTTTTCTAAAGGGACAATTCAAATGTTTACATTCGCACATTCCTTTTGTTGAGCAACCACTAATGAGCATAGACTAGTGTCCACAAGATTGGAGTCACCATTCAAAAGTTTGGAATCACTATTTTAAATAGTATAGCACTAATTTTGTTGCAGATAAATGTATGAAAATATCCTGTAATGCTGCTATTATTCCATAGTTTCAGATCATTTGTACAAAGCTTAAGACCTTTTTGATGGTGAACAGAGCTGAGGATGATTCCATAATAACTGAGAAAGCTGTGTAGCAGCAAGAATGAAGTTATAATGAAATACATGCCCAGAAAACCTCATATTCAAAAAGTGGTGACCAAATCTCTCTGATCACATTGCTATTTATAGCTATTTGGTGACCTTAAGTTCATGTGCTGCGGCTCCCGAGTGTCCCGTTCTATTGCTGAAGCCTTTCTTTAAAGAACCCTTTTAAAAATTGTTCTATATAGCACCAAATAAGGGGTCTGCTTTAGAACCTTCTGAGGACTGTACAGAACCCTTTTTACTGTAATAACTCATGTATATTAATGTACCACCACTATGGACACTGTAAGAAGCTCCAGTTTTAGCTGATGTTTACTAGCAAACTTTGCAACAGTAGAAAAGAAATAAAAAAGAAAATACTGTAATAATATTTACACACCTAGTCTCGTAATACCTAATATATCAACATCTCACTCTTAAAGTGGGATATTTTTTTGTCAAGTGAATAATAATAGTAGAAATTTATCTCTATTGTTATATTCTATTTATAAATTAATTTATAGAGACTTTTATTCCTGGAGATAAGCAGGAGTATCTGCACTAGAGTGATGCTCCAACAAATGGAATTAAAAGGTTCTTTGCATCATGAAAGGGTTCTTCAGACTGATGGAGAATGTGCTGCAGAAAGTTCTATATAGAACCTTTTTGAAACTGGTTCTACATAGCACCCAAAAGGTTCTTCTGTTGCTATGGTGTCAAGGGTTCTTTGAGTGTTCATGGTTCTATATAGAATCATTTTCTTTACTTTTTAAGAACCCTTAAAGAACTAACTTTTTAAAGTTAATAATAATACTAATAATACTAATAATAATAATAATATAAGCTTTATTTCTATAGCACTTTTTCAGTTGGAAAGTTTCTCAAAGTGCTTATAATAAATTAAAATTGCAAATGCAAACAATAAAAGCAGTAAAACAAAAAGAACGAAGCAGAACATCTTGCTTTTAAAAGCTCAAAGCTGTACGTGCGCAAGATTATTTCCATCTCCGGCAGGAAATTTTCCACAAAAGTGAAATAATTTTTTCTAAAATGTCTCTTAACATTTGACTTTTACGAGGCTGAAGTCGCTTCTCATTCACCAGCTTCTTGTTTGAATTGTCACGTTCCACCTTAAATGGACCAGAATGTAACTGCTCCACCATTTAAGGTGGAACAAGAATCTGGCATCAGCTTCTTGACTTTTCAGTGTTTGTCAGTTTCTCGTAGCAGATTAAACGTATCAGGAAACCAGCTGGAGTGATTATTACTGCTAATAAGTCCATTCGTCTCCAAATTATTGATGTTCATCTTAAATCTCTCTCTTTGCCGTTTTGTTGCTACTAGCTGGGCGAGACTGTTGTCTGTGTTGCTATGGTAACCAGCAGTCTGCGCTGATCTTCAGGGTTAAAGGGTGAATCAGCAGTTCTACATTAACTCCAGAGTTTAAGACCATTTATTGTTAAACTGTGTTGAACGATCAGCAGAGCTTTATTTTACTGTAAAGGAGGATTATTTTATTTTACCTACAGATCTAATTCAGCTATGGAGCCACAACAGGGCAGTAAAAGAGCCGCCGACCCCTGACCCAATGGCATGACTTGGAAAAAATGTATAGAAGTGAATGGGTGACTAAGTTAGTTGTTTGAAATCATATTTAGAAAGGTCAGCTGCTCCAGTGCGTCCCATTCTCTTGCTCTTCTGGGAAATTACGCCAGCTGTGAACACCTGTATGGGCAGTGTGTGCAGCTTAAAGTAGCTGAATTCACTCATTAGAAAGACTGTCTGGATACTTTTGGACTCACAGTGTGTGTTTATGTAATTCAGCTGCTGTGTTTTCGCTGCAGGTGTGTGGAAGGGGCTCTTTGCTCGTATCATCATGATCGGCACGCTGACCGCCCTGCAGTGGTTCATCTACGATTCAGTCAAGGTGTACTTCCGCCTGCCCCGCCCTCCGCCACCAGAGATGCCCGAGTCTCTAAAGAGGAAGATGGCTCTGGCGAGCCACTAGACCCCCGAACCTCCAGCCCCTCCATGAGCAGCCGTAGACAGACCCAGTTTCCACAAATGAAAAAGGTCCACCAGAAAGTCGAGTACCCTGACTTGACTTGACTGAAAATAAAGGTGCAATACTATAGAACAGTGGTTCTCAAACCAGTCCTCGGGGTCCCTGCTCTATCCCTGTGCATTGCGAGTTGGCTTGGAGACAAATTGAGGACCATCTGGGGTCCCTGAGGACCAGTTTAAGAGCCACTGCCATAGGAGAACCACTCTTAGCTCCCTAAGTAACCTCTGAATGAGGGGATCTTTAAAGAAACCCTTATGTAAAACCTTTAGAACCTCCACATAATGCAGCGGTTCTATACCAGTTAAATGTTTCTCCAAATAATTGCTCACCCAAGTCAAAAACTTTAGAAACCTATATTTTTTAAGAGTTTATGATTGCTCTCATGAGCTTTGCATCTCCAGGATGATAGTTTTACAGGAGAAGGAAATGTTCTTAATTGTAATGTACATTAATGCAATGGAATTCCAAGAAATCAATCAATCAAATGCAGGTGGACTGTTTGAAATATGGTGATGAATTTTGGCAAAATTGTTGAAGGTATGTTCAGTTCTGGGCTAAGTGTGGAGATTCTGTCTGTGTGTAAAAGAGGCTGTACGCTGATGGAATATATCACTGTTCTGTTTTCTTCCATAACCACTATTAAAGTCTACCTGAATATTATAGTAAAATTCGTTCGCCTGTTGTGCTTCTGTAAAGGGTTGAATGCTTTAGCAAAGACTTTTCTTCTTACTTTCTGGGTAAATATCTGGCTGAAAAAATTCAAGGTTAAGCAGTAAACCTGAGCCAGACTCTTAACAGTTTACTTAAACACACACCAAAAACTTTGTCCTAGTTTAACTGACCATTCAGAGAAAGTTCTGCCTCCCGTCAAACTTTCAGACAAGGCTACCTGGCAACATCCGTAAGGCCCAGTCCCATTTCACCCCTCGCCCCCACCACTAAGTGCTTAGCCCTCCGTTTTGTGTGTTCACGTCTAGGGGTAGGGTGTCCTGATTCGTGTTGAGATAGAGGGGGAGGGTGAAGTGTTGGGGCTACATGACCCTCCAAACGGAGGTTTTTCAGAGACTCCAAACAGAGAGATATGAGAAAAAGAGAAAAAGCAGCAAGATGGAGAACAAGAGACCAAAGGAACCCACAAATGTGAGAATTTTCTGCGTTATCAAATTACGATAATCACTGTATTATCTTAGTTTAATGTTGTTTCAGTGTATTTTGGTCGTTTTCTTCATAACAAGCATAAAAAACCAATAATAGCATGCTGATGTCTCTGTAACTAGCTAACTTTCCCGTTCCACCTTAAATAGTCCAGCAGTTCTGACACCTGAAGCGCCAGAATGTAACTGCTGCATCATTTAAGGTGGAATGGGAAAATTCAAAAAAAAGCTGGTGAATATCTGACTTCAGCTTCGTATCACTGAAGAATTAGGGGTGGGCGATAATAAATAATTGCCCCCCTCTTTGAAGGCATATGATGCCCTAAATGTAACTAAAGCCCAGCAGTGAGGAGCTGAACTTTACCCTCCTCTGCTGTCACTGCAGACTGGCAGGGTCGCCTACAGAGCAGCGCTGGTAGCTGTTAATGAAGTGATGCTCTTTTTATTTGAGGGTCCCATTTCAGAGGGAAGAGTTCAACCACTACCCTGTAACTCCAAGGGGCAACACTCAAAAACAAGGGGTAGGGGTAAAAATAAGAAATGGGATTTCACAGTTTAAGTCCCTAAGCCTGTTCATAGTTTAGTCATTGAGTTTTAATCCAAACTTTTAATCCAAAACTTTTTCAGCTTCAGGAATGAAACAAAAGCATCAGATGATCAGGAGAGCATGGTGGAAGGTAGCATCAGGAGTCTCGCCCAAGCACTCTTATTGGTGTAGTATAGGGGGCTTACACCACAGTCTACAGTGTAGAAAGCGGAGGTGTTACCCACTACACTATACCCACCACTAGAGGTGTTCCTCACTAACACCTGTCCACCTTTGCTAAAGCCCTATTGGAGCTGGATTAGTATTACAGAGGAGCTCCAGTATTGCAATTTATAAGTGATTTAACTGGGTGATCCGTACAGGATACAGTATCTGTGTAATCTGTACACTCACTTCAGCATTAAGACTACAAATTTAGGAAAAAGGGTTCTTTGGCTCATAACAATAGCGGAACACTCTTTGATGCTATGGAGAACCCTTTTGAAAAAGCTGCTATATAAAACCATCTGCGGCACGTTCTCCATTAACCCTTTAACAAGGCAAAGGCTTCTTTGAGTGTTCATGGTTTTATATAGAACCATTTTCTTCTCTAAAGAACCCTTGAAGAACCATCTTTTTTGAGAGTGTTGAATTAAATGGATCCAACCAATAAACAACATTAACTCACAGCTAATACCAGATAGAACAGCACTGAACTAGTAAAGTGGAATTAAACCTAAATGTTGCCCAACAGAACACAAATCTCTCTTTAATTTTAATTTAATTCTGCTTAAAATTAGCCACTTAACATGTAAACAGTTTTTAACTTGAGGATAAGGAACTGTGCCAAGAGCTCTGTTTTGGAGATTAGGCTTCAGAAGCCGTATTACAGAAAATTCTTATCTTTTTGTCTTAAGACCTGACAGATTTTTCACAAATTCGTATTACAGAAGCAAAACTGATCTTAATTTAGGAATCTTATCCTACAGCATCTTATCTCAAGTTAGGAAATCTTAATTAACTCGATTGAAGTCAACAATCAACTGTCGTGTCTGTTACCTAGCAACCACCCCTACGCGCACAGCTGAAACATAAACACATAGTCAAGTCACTTAGCCAGACAGCTAACGTTAGCTACTGTTACTGAGGTAAAAAAGGTCAAAGAAAACTAAAGCACGATAAACTGAGAGTTAAGAATATTGTTTCAGCGCCCCTCTGCTGTTTATCAGAGCATCACCGCTCTCAGTTTCAGTCTCCGTTTCCCAAACGCTTTAGCCGAGCGCGCTAACGTTACTCCTCCTAATAAACAGACACACGTTCAGCTCCGTCTCCTCATTATTCACCACCATCACTGTAATATTTCATCATCAACATTAACACACGAAGGTGATCAGAGGGGCGGTGGAGGTCGAGTCTGCAGCGTCTGGGGTTTTAAACGCTGTTCGAAAAAAACGTGGGAGTCAAAGCTCCGTTTTCAGTGTAGATAGATGCGTCACTATGCTGGTTATAGTGGACTGAGCTGTGTCACTGCATAAAACAGTAGAATCAGATGGTTAAACAGAAGTTCAGACACTCTGGAATCTTAAAGTTAAGAACATATTTAGGATATTTTGGAAACTTAGGATGTTTCTGTAAAACTGTTTTCTTATCTGGAAATAAGATCGGATTACAGATCTAAGATCTGTTGTTCTGTAATGGCTTCTGTCCTAAAATCAGTCCTAACTGAAGTTGCAATGACAACAAAGCAGATCTCAGACTTAAGAGCTTTCTGTAATACGGCCCCTGGTCACCTGGTCACTAAAATAGGAGATGCTGATGTGTATTAGGAAAATTTGACATTACTTCGATTTGAGCAGGACTGCTATTAAAGAAGGAGCTCTGAGTTTGATGAATTATAGGAGGTAATTCACTCTGGAACTATTATTTAGCAGTCTTGTAAAATCTATACACCTTGCAGATTCATAGATTAAAATCATAGATCTTGTAGGTAATCAATCACTCAAGTCAAGTCAGAGTTTATTTATCATCACTGTCCAAAGAAAAACAATATCTCCAAAATGGTCACTTTACAGGAGAAGGCAAAAACACTCTCACCTTTTAATGTTAGTTAATGTAAAGAGATTTTATTCTAATTGATTTTGGGGCATTTCTATTGGTCCAATCATCATGAAATTTGCACACAGTGTAAAGGAGAACTGCCGTGTTCAAACGGTGCAGAAAAATAAAAAAACGTTTTTCTTTGCGCATTTGATCAAGAATTTTTATTGTTTCACAAGATAATTAACAACAAGGGGATAGAGAGCAACAGACAACAGCAAGAGTGATCATAGGTACAATTCGTCATCACAGACAAAATGAAATAAAGGAGGAAGCGTCCGTGTTCACTGCACACCTTGCAGGAAATCCAAAATACGAAACAAAAAAGTTTTCCATGTTTCGACAGTCATGGGTTTAGCATGGTGAAGTGGTGCAGCAGTACATTCAGGTCTTGCTATGTTAAGTAAATTAACAGCCCAAAATGATTCTGAGTGAAGTTCAGGCGTGATCCAGCTTTGTAGGATGATATGCTGTTTTCCACAACAGGTGTTCTCACAAAGCAGCTTTACAGAAAAATCCAGGTCTGAGCCCCCATGAGCGTCGCCAATAGCGACAATAGCAAGGAAAACTCCCTAAGAGCAAGAGGAAGAAACCATGAGAGGAACCAAGGCACAAAAGGGGAACCCATCGTCCTCCGGTCGGAACCGGATAGCAAACAGCAACCCAAGCAAAATGAAGAATAAGGTTTTATTATTAGTATAAAATATTAAAATGTAGAAACGGGGAAAAGCAGGTGCAGCAATGCCTCTGATTAAATCATTTACAGCACCTCACCAGCTAACACTAGACTAAAAAGTGAGGGGTTAAATATCAACACACTAACTTGCCCATTTTAACACGTATAGTTTTCTGATTTAACACATACTGTGATAAAAGCAACCCAAAACGTGTCATCCATAACTGGGTATAGGAATATTTCAACATATATTGTGGTAAAAGTAACACAAACGTGTGTCTCCAACTGAACACGCCGAATGTGTTGTTTTAAGAGTGTAGTCCTGCTCAAACAGGGATTTGGTCTGACTAATTTACTGCCATTACCGTTCTCACTGCAGGTTTGTTTTGGAGAGGAGGGAATGTTTAGAGACAGCTGTGATTGGCTGAGAGGTTTTTGACTCATTATTTTGAGAATGGTCAATTTAATTTGAAATTATTATTCGAGAGGGCTATTTTTTTTAAATTTTTTTGTCATAACCCAGTTTGAATTGGTTTAATTTTTTATTACCTTAATTATTGGAGCCACGTTCGCATTTTAGAGTACAGGACACTGGAAGTGCAGTGAATAGAGTTGTTTGTGTTAAAGCAGTGGGTGGTCTGACTCAAACCATTAAGCCAAAGGATGTGACCTTCATAAATGTCCTGTCGTCACTGTTTTAGCCATTTAAAACATTCACTAATTTTCCTCTTCGCTCTGCATGGAAGCATACGATGTTGTTAGAACACAACTGTTAATTTGCCTGGAAATAAAATGTTTGAGAAACTTTTTGGGGCCACAAATGGAGAGTTGCATGTTCCATTTTAACATAAATTTGCACACACAATGGTTCGGTGTGCATCTGACAACGCTGAAAACATGAAATTTGAAAAAGAATTTCTCCATCTCACTAATAGATGCGCATGCTGGAAGCTTTCCACAGGTTTGAGAACAGAGGCCTGCGTATGTGAAAGCGTGTGTCAGACTGTTCTTCGTTCTCTCCGTCCTGTTTTCTCCTCATCAGGCTCTGAGTAACGGCTCCGCTGACCCTAATACTGGCTGCTGGGCGTCCACAAATGGAGCTTATCAGAGCACAGGAGCTGCGGGGTCACCTTGTGCACGTAAGAGTGTGCTTGTGCCGCACTTTGTGTGGTGGTGGTTGTATGTGTTCCC